ATAATAAATTCCCACATTCCATAATACTTCAAATAACTGAGCTAAAACATGGCTTACAAACTGTTTCAGCTGCATGGTTATGGTCTCCAAAACAGTAACTTTTCTCTTAAGTGGCATGCACATGGATGAAAATTCAGACACAATTTTACAATAGAATTCACAAACTTTTGAGAGCCCAGAGTCAAAAGGTTCCATACAGCTCCTTCACAGGGAACCTTTTGACTCTTGACTCACACAGGTAAAATGACAAACAGAGCTGAAAGAAACTATGAAGCAGAACACCGCAAACACCATTATCACCTTGGAAAAATCTTAAAAGTGCATTCTCTGATTTTTATGACCAGCATGAGAAGGGGAGCCACATAATGCTCATGCAGGGATTGGACAAAACGAGGGTGAATTGGACAAAATGGTGATCAAAACTAATAAAGAAACTGCCGAAACAAAAAGGTTTGGTTTCTCTTCAAAAATATTTTTTAACATTTCCGGGCAGTGATGTGAGAGCATGCTGAACACAAACAAGTCCTCATAACAAAAAAAAGCATTCTTTATCAACAAACAGTCAATGAGAACACGATGGCATGCAATTTTTGATCGACTAAAATACTCCAGAGAAGACATAACTAAGTCAATCCTCTTCACGAAATGACAGTCATTGTTTAAAGAGTTTCTAAAATATTACCTATATCACATCATTACAAAAATGTTGACACCAATAACTTACGGCTCTGTATTAACAAAATAAATGTGTCACGACATGGTGAAATCAAACACTTGTCAATTTTTGGGCCTATGGAGTTATTGGTATTATCTTAAAGCTTGTTTATTTGCTTTCCTTTAGAGGAAAAAAAATACCCAGCTGTAGGGAATAGAAGTTGAGAGATTTGCAATTGAAGGAAGGGAGGGTCGCCAGGTATCAGAGGAAAAATTAGCGAGAAAATGGCCGCCAAAGTTTGGTGACTTCCATAGCTCAAGAGTCCTTGGAAACTGCAAATTTACATTTTCTATGCCTTAAATTAATGTTTTTCAGTAAAATCCACACATAAACATGTTTTTAAAACGGCATAAAAAGTGTTAATCCAAACAGCAAAAAATCTGTAAAAATTGCTAAACAGGCAGAAAAGTGCCTGTTTAACTCATTATTTTGATGAGCGCCTGATCTCACCATGTTGCCACACAAATATCCAAAATAAATGGCTTCAATAAGTTGTACTAGGAAGGTGACCCACAAAGTTTTGAATGAAAGGACTGAAACAACATTAAGGAATTTCAAACTCAAAACAAAACACGACAGAGACGTTTTCCAATGACCTGACTTTTCAGTAAAACCAAAGATTGTGTATATCAAGATAGTTCACCACTCTCTTCGAGCCAATCAACAAAGTGTCCTCAAAATTCAGTGCGCCGTCTTTGAAAAAGAGCGAACTGCGTGAACAGAGTTACCCTACTTTGAGTAAAAAAACAATAAAAGTGAAACTAACAAAATGTGCTATTCTAATTTTTCTACTGCGGATGTGAAAGAGAGCTTCAAAACAAAGACTGCAGCACCATCTGAAGCAATACGCCGACTTCCGCTGACACTTTCTTGGCTGAGTGAACAATCTTGTTATGTACCATCTTTGATAATACAACAGAATGTGTGCACAACACGGTGAAAATCTCAACCCTACCTTGAGCACTGATGTTCTTCCATTGAGGCTCTTCAAACTTTGGTCCTTCTTTGGATAGCGATTCGTTCAGTACATTGTCCTTTGGATATCGGGTTAATCTGAAATTTTTAAAATCAAAGCTGATATTTATATTTCTGTAGCTCACGTGATCGAAGGCTCAAATAATTGGTCATAGCTTCCCTGCTTGGACAGTCAATTCATAAAAATAAATTTAAAAAGTACTAAAGATTAGTCACAAGAATAAAAGAAGTGCAGAAAAAAATAATGTTGTGTATTTCCAAATGGACACTCATACAAGATCTCTTCTCTCTCTCTCACTAACACCTCCTCCATCCCTCCCTCTCTCTTTCTCTCTCTCTCTCTCTCTCTCTCTCTCTCTCTCTCTCTCTCTCTCTCTCTCTCTCTTTCTCTCTCACCCACTCTCTTCTTAGCTCTTATAAATTTCTCTTTCTAAGGCACACATACGGACAAACATGAGGACAAGAAATAGCATACACTTACACATCAACAAAAACATGTGTACATGCTACACACATGAGAAGACACAAAATAGTTTTGGCTAAAAAGAATATTGATTGAGATTTGGTGAACTTACAAGTAGTACATGATGATGCCCATGGCCCACACGTCTACTGGGTAGGAATAGGTTGAGTTCATTTCTGGAGCTGTAGACGAGAACACGACCGAAAGAGTGGCTGTGAGTGCCATTGTTTGGAACATGGTAATATAAAAAAATGGAGTTTAAAAAAAGGTTTTCGACTCTTTTTTTTTTAAATCAGAAAAGTAATACAAACAATCCTGTTTGAGTCAACACGTCCAAGTGTAGAACATATGGTGGGTAGGTCATGTTGTCAAAAATTTTGAGCACTTAGAAAAGAGGTTGGGGGGGGGGGGGGGTAGTAACCCACTGTTCATCAGATGTATCTCTGTGTATTGTCTCTGTCATTTTTCACTTGCTGTCATCTGGACATTTACAAACAAGAAAAGAGGTCCACTTTAAAAAAAAAAAAAAAAAAATTTTTTTAAATATCAAAGCCCCAAACTCACACAAACCTATCTCTTGCCCCCCCCCCCCCCCCCCCTAAAAAAACGAACAAAAAACCTAACTCGTACAGTCAACAAAAGACATACCCATGTACGACAAGGTCCCACAATACTGTTCCTGCATGTTCTCATACGAGTTGTTGTTCTGCTGTGTGGATAGCCCAAAATCTGTCACCTGGAAAAAACCAACCCACAGAACCACATGAGATGCTATCCTAAGTATAAAGTGGCGGGATAGAATAAGAAATGAAGAGCTGTGGGAAAGGACAGGACAAAAGGATATATAGAAGAAGAAATAGGACAAAAAAAGTTGTGATAGAAGGGACACACACAAAGAAAGCCCAGCATAAATATCATAAGACAGTCGCTGCAGCAGAACCCACAAAGAGCACAAGGCAGGGGTAGGCCACGGGAAACATGGAGGACATGTGTGGAAAGGGACATGAGAGAGATGAAGCTCACTTGGAACGAACTTGGAAGGATGGCCCTGGACAAAGATAAATGGGGGGAGTTTGTGCTTGTGGCCTATACCCTGCCAGGGGTGAAAGACATTGATGATGACGATGATGACATGAGATGCTATAGTGTCTCTGTGGTTGGGGAGGGGGGGGGGGGAGGAGAGGGTTTAATATTCCTGCCACTACTACAAGTTCGTTTATAAGGTTGGATCTCCCAATTCAACGACACGAACAAGCCATCTTGAAGGAGAACTTTAAAAACTCCTCAAACAAAACAATTCCCAAAGCACCACGTTGGGAATTCGAACCAGGGATATACGCACTAAAGTCAAGCAAGCTATGAAATGAGCGCTATCATCTTCGAAGGAATATCGCAAGTGAACGTTCCTCTACATTCAGAATGCTCCTCCTGTATTCTGAGTAATACTTATTTACTTACTCTCTCCCTATACCGTTAGGTACATAAGGCAGGGAGCAGTCGACGCCACGCTTGCCTGTCTCTGGCCACCTTCTCCGATCTCGGTAGGCTACATCCAGGCCATGGGTGATCGCCTCATCCCTAATTGTGCCTCTGTGGCTTCCTGTTGGTCTACCTCTTTTTCCCAGAACAATTAGTCTAGTTTCTTTAGTTTGGTAAGCGTTTTACGGCCCTTTCATTCCAAATATGTTATATCAGTGTCAAAGATCAGAGGTGTTGCTGGAGAGTAACGTAAAAGAAAAGAAAGAAGACAGATAAGAACGAGAGATGTTTACAAGGGAAGGAGTAGCAAAGCACACCAGAGCACCCGCCAACCACCCACAAAAATATGTCAAGGACCATTTTAAATAGCACAGATGGGAAAATTGCAGTGTATATTTGTGTTGCTATGAAAACAAACATTTGTGTCAAGCCTCTAACAGAATCCACCCAGACAACAGAAACACTTGGGCCTGACTGGAAAGGGTTAACGTTTGGCTTTTGTCTTCCTGGAACAAAAATAACTACCACACAATGAAGTGTTAAGACTGACCCCCCCCCCCCCCCCACCTTCCCCCTTTCCATCCCAACCCACATATAACACGAAATAACGATTTAAAAAAATAAATGTTTTAAACACACAAATAAACCATAACAACAAATCAACAAAGCCACAGCAGTATTCCCTACATCAAGTTCTAATAAAGTTGACCTCGAAATGTCAACTACAACATGCGGAGGGAGCGGGCAGGGTCCCACAAGAAACAAGACAGAGTAAACAGACCGAAGCCAGAATAATGATCAATCATCCACCAATCCAGTAAAGGGGTGCTCTCGGGGCCTAGAGGTTAAGGTGTTCGCCTCTCATTCAAAGGTCCCGGCTTCGAATCCGGGTAGCGACCGGAACATTTTCTTCTCTAAAATTGTCTTCTTTCTTCACCTCCTTTCCTGCTCTCTAACAATGTTGTGTCGTCTGCTTTCGTCTCCACTTTCTGCCCCCGCCTGTTCACCTTCTGTGCCCCCTCATCTGGGCTCCTGACTCTATCTGCAGCCTTTCTACTGCTACTTCTTCGCTCCTTACTGCTGTCTTTCAGCCACACCCCTAATCTTTTGGAAGGAAAGATCAACACATAGCCTTCTCTGACAAGGGCGAATAATCTCGGAGGGCCCGTGTGCAAGTTGTGCACGTTAAAGGTCCCTTGGTGGTCTAAAATCGATAAGAGTAGGCTTCGGCTGCCACCGGGGCAAAATTCAAAATTTTCTACCAACTGAAAATGTTTAATGTGTCCCGCGAGCTCATATGACCTTATGCAGTTGCAAACGCCGTAAAACACTTACGAAAACAAATGAAGAATCCAGAAAAGCTACGGAATGTTCAGCACCATAGTCTAATGTTTTAGTAAGAGTTTTACGGCACTTGCAACACATTTCGTCATTTTAGTGCCGAAGATTAGAGGTATTACAAGAGAGCTGAAAACACAAGAATAAATTAGGAGAGATAAGGGCGACAGATGCTTGGGAGTAAAGCAGGAGCAAACCACACCAGAGCACCCACCAACCACCTACTCAGAGACTAAAAAAGCAGTCTAATCTCCCTTTCCACAAAACGCAGCATGGAGATCTACTGAGGTTCTACGGGAAATTTTGATTCTCTGGACTGTTTTGTTTTATGGCAATGCATGTATTAATGAATATATTCAACACTCAAAAACAAAAACAAAATAAAAACAAGCTATCCTATGCTTTTAGAAAGGCATTACGAAATCGTAATCAGTACAAAACGAGCACAATCTCGTGGCTACCCCATGGTATATCCAACAGGGAAACAAACATAATAATTAATTTTTCAAGCGGTGTTCCATTCTATGAGCACAAGCCATTAATGCTGTGTGTTTGGTTTTCTAAACAATAGATTATAGTGGAGATCGAATTTTTTCACTCGTAGATACCTTTAAGCATAGCTTTTCACACTTCAGAAAAAAATCACTTGTTTAAAAATGTCAGCCTGACTCTCCATAAAGCTTGAAGGGATAATGGGACTTTTCGAGTGATTTATTATTAATGGAGATCCATGCAGCTTTCAAAACTAACTGTTAGATAGTGACAAACACCCAAGGATTCACTATGGATTTTAACCTCATCATTGCTGTGTGAACGTATGCACTCACTGGTTTTCAACAAAACTGGTTCTCTGCCATTAAATTTTTTCCTTACTGATGTTAAACGACGTTTAAGGAGATGTAATACGCACTTGTGCAGTTGTTAACTCTTAAATTAGGGAAAATATGTTATGGTGGCTTTGTTTAAACATCTCTTAATTAATTTTATATCTCGCTGTACAAACATAGACGGAAACGTCTTAGCAACGAAAGGGTTAAAACGTCTACATCACAGGGAAAGAAAAGAATACTTCAGACATTCTCTTTTCCCCTTAAAGTCCCGCGCATTATTTCTCCTTCAGATGAGGACTCAATTCTCTTAAACAAAAAGCCCCTGATCCCCAGGGCTAGTTCTCTGTGACAACCACTAATCCAATACATTCCAGCCACTAATGCGTAATGCAAAACCAGCGGTAAACAGCCGAATGGAAGACCTCCCGTCGAGGTAGAATCAATACCCAGGATCTCTTTAAACTGAGCGGGCGAGATCGGTGTCTCTATTGTGAGAACTCTCGGGCACAGCACGACTACAATTTTATTTTGAAAAATAAAAATAAAAATCTTTTAGTTTTAGAGATCTGAACGGGAGAAAAATCGATCAGTGTCATGAGTGAAGACTGACAATGTATTTCAAACGATAAGCTACTCCTCAAAACACATTAACGGAGTATGAAAACAACTTCCTGAAAAGACATTAACTGAGTAGGAAAACACGGTCTTCAAAAGACATTAAACTGAATACGAAAACAAAAACACTGCTGACGATTATGAAGGAAGAAAGGAACGATAGTTGGCAGAAAATATTCAAAACAATTTATTTAAATATACACATTGTGCCCTGTAAAGGTATTGTTCCAACTTTTGATGTCAAGAAAACAGAAAACACTTCGATTATTTTCACTCCAAGGGTTTCTATACCCACAGAGCCAGAAATATGGAAGTCACTAAACCACAATTATATTTACCAGGGAAAAAACCCACACTTATACTTGGCCAATTTGGATTTTAAAAAAAAGGGGGGGGGGGGGGGTAATATAGACATGTGAAACTTTTGTTGACAACAGATAAGTGAAATGCAACTGAGCTTAACTTTCGTGACTAAATGAACATTTCACACAAAGTTTGAGATAATGGCGAGACCCAACAGAAGATGGGAATAAGACATGGAAACCTGGTCTGGAGCCAAAACAACCTAAGCAGGCAGAATGGTGTGTGTGTGGGAGAAAGAAAGAGAGAGAGAGAGGGGGGGGGAGAGAGAGAGAGAGAGAGAGAAAG